GTTGTATTCAGTCAGTATTAGATTATAAATACCTTTTCCATGCTAGTTTAGCATCTTCATAATGGCCATTTAAAATCTTTTATTGTGATAAAATACATGTAAGATTTGTCATTTTAACCATTTTTAAGTTACATTTCTTTAGTATTGTATTTGTAATGTACATCATTATCTCACTATTTAGATCCAGACTTTTTAATCACCACAAATAGAACTCTGTACCCATTAAGTACTGCCTCCCTCTGTCCTCCTACCTTTAAGCCTTGATAACCTGTAATCTACTTTCTGTCTTTATAAACTTGCCTTTTCTACATATTTGATATAACTGAAATCAATATCATATTTCTTTTGTACCTGACTTCTTTTCACTAAGCATGTTTTCAATATTCATCAAGGTCCTGGTGTAGATCAGGATTTCATTCTATTTTATGACTGAATAATAGTCTCTTGTATGTATAGACCACATTTTGTTTATCCACTAATCTGTTAATGAACATTTAGCTTGATAATTGCCATTTCGAATGACTGAATGATACTCCATCTTATTAAGGAATCAAAATTTAGTAAATCATTTCATAGCTGTTTGACATTAAAGTAACTTTCAGTTTTTTTATTCATAAAGAATACATAGTAAATGCCTGTAAATATATAGTAGTTTGTTCTTTTGAATATGTTTTTAGGCATTGTTTTTTTTTTAAAATACCAGGTAAAAAAACTTAATTCACTGGTATCTGAAAAGAAGTCAGCTCTAGCCCCAGTTATAAAAGATCTACGACAGCTGCGTCAGAAATGTCAAGTAAGTGAATTTGATTCTGCAATATGTTTAGTATTCTATTTTTTATTTAGATGTCCTTGGTAGAATCTGGAGTCGTTCAGTTTGGTAATTTATAGAAAGCAAAATATTACCATTATTATCAAATTTATGTAATTCTGCAAAGGAGAGTAATAATGTAACCTGAAAGGGTTTTCATTTAATTTTTGCTACTCATTTTGTCCTGAATTACTGAGAGGGAGGGAAAGAGAGAAAGGGGTTAGGCTTATACCTATGAGTGTAGCTGCCAGATGAGATTCTTGCTTTAAATCATATGCATCTCAGAATGGTGACTATGAAGTCACATTCTTCTGTGGCCATGTCAAAGCTTAGAATCTGCCCATGAGTGGTGACAGGTTTACTTTTGACTAATGAACTTGCACAGAGGTGAAGGAGTTGGGGGTGGGGGGGAGAGGGGCAGTAAGCTATGATCAGTTATGGTAAGTGATAAAATGCTTATAAGCTACTTGGAAGATGAACTATCAGAAGGTAAATCGCTCCACCAGTCCAGATCAGGTGGCCTCAGCCATGTGACAGTCACAGTTGTTAGTGTATCACTGCTTGGTAGAACTTTCGTTTGAATCTGAACTGAACTGCATGTGCCTGAGGATGGGACTGCAAAAGTCTTCATGAGTGTCTTCCATCAGAGTCAGCCGCACTGTGAAAAATCACATGGACTTTGACATCAGTAGAGATCATCTCCTTTTTATAGGAAAGGCCATGGAGTCTGACACATTCTATCCAAGTAGACAAGAAGCACATGACAGAGCTGGGAATTGGCTCTGTGGCATTATCTTATCTCATCTATCTCCTGTGAGTTCTGTTACGCACCACTCTGTCACAGAAGAAATGGACCCCATGCTCTGATAGGTGAGATGGGTCAAGCTTGAGAAGAAATTTGAGAAAAAAGGAGGAGAAGTTTCAGAAAGGAGGAGATTTGTGAGCCAGACTTTTAGACCGAGGATACCAGAATGGTCTTTATGGATGTATTCTGTCTAGTTCATTGATTTTCTTGAGAAAACCTCGTGGAGGCAAAAAGAGCAAGTTCTATCTATATCTGTTGTTAAGTGCCTTGGAGTCGGTTCTGACTCATAGCAACTCTGTACAGTATTTCCGAGAAGTGGCTGGTGAGTTTGAACTGCTGCCTTGCAGTTCAAACTAACCTTTAGGTCCAGTACATTATCCTGCAGCACCAATGGTAAAATTTGTTCTTACTGGTAAGCTAATAAAATTTGTATTTAAAAAAATATGTGGTTAAAAAATATGATAGAGCATTAGATGCCTTTTTAAAAGTCCACTTTTGTTATTTTACTCTATCTGGATTACAAGGAACAGAGATTCACTCAAACTAATTGAAGGATTATTGTTACTGTTCTTGTTAAGTGACGTTGAGTCAGTTCCAACCCATAGCGACCTTGTATAGGGTTTCTGAGGAGTGGCTGGTGAGCTTGAACTGCTGACCTTGCTGTTCAGATCGACTTTGCAGTCCAGTTCATTAACACACAGCACCACACCAGGACTTCAATTGAAGGATACTTAGGGCAATAAAGGAAATGAAATGTACTTTCATGGAAATCCAAAGAAAGCATTTTGGCTCAGGGAAGCTTAAGGAACCTCAGGAGCTAGAAGTTATGGGTAGTGATAGTGATGATGAACATCATAATAATAGCATCTATTAAGTGCTTTCTGTGGGCCAAGAAGAGTTAAAAAAAAAAAACAAAAAAAAAAACGAACAAACATGCAAGTAAACTTTTGCTGAAGGTTATTAAAAAATGGTAGCAGCAGTACATCAAGAATGAGCTGACAGAAATTCAAGCTGGATTCAAAAGAGGATGTGGAACAAGGGATATCATTGTTGAAGTCAGATGGATCTTGGTTAACAGCAGAGAATACCTGAAAGAGATTTACTTTTCTTTGTGCTTTATTGACAATGCAAAAGCATCAGCTGTGTGGATCATGAAATAACAATGGATAACATTATGAAGAATGGGTATTCCAGAGCACTTAATTGTGCTCGTGAGGAATCTGTCCATAGACCAAGAGGTAGTCATTTGAATTGAACAAGGGGATACTGCATGGTTTTAAATTAGGAAAAATGTGTGCCAGGGTTGTATCCTTTCACATACTTATTCAATCTGTATGCTGAGCAAATAATCTGAGAAGCTGGGTTATATGGAGAAAAATTTGGCTTTAGGATTAGAGGAAAACTCATTAAAAACCTACAGTATGCAGATGACACAACCTTGCTTGCAGGAAGCAGAAAAAGACTGAAATACTTACTGATGAAGAGTAAAGACCACAGCTTTCAGTATGGATTGCACCTCAATGTAAAAAAGACTAAAATCCCCACCACTGGACCAATAAATAACATCACGATAAAGGGAGAAAAGATTGAAGTTGTCCAAGACTTCATTTTGTCTGGATACACAATCAACACTCATGACAGAAGCAGTCAGAAAATCAAACAATGTATCGCATTAGGCAAATCTGCTTTAAAAACTTTTTTAAAGTATTAAAGAGTAAAGATGTCAGTTTGAGAACTATAGATGCATCTGCCCCAAGACATGGTATTTTCAGTTGCCTCCTATGCGTGTGAAAGTTGACTGTGAATAAGACTGTAGAAGAATCAATACATTTGAGTTACGGTGTTAGCAGAATATTGAAAGTACCATGGACTGTCAGAGAATAGACAAATCTGTCTTGGGAAAAATACAGCCAAAATGTTCCTTAGAAGGAAGAATGGAGAGACTTTTTTTCTCATTCTTTGAACGTGTTCTCAAGAGAGAACCGCCCCTGTAACAGGACATCATGCTTGGTAGAATGGAGAGTCAGCCAAAAAGAGGACGATCCCCAATGAGATGGATTGACCCAGTAGCAGCACAGTGGGCTCAAAGGTAGCAACAGTGGTGAGGATGGCACAGGACAGGGCAGTTTGGTTCTATTGTGCATAGGGCCACTGTGAGAAAAATGACTCCGTGGCACCTAATAGCAACAACATGTGCCAAGCAGTATTATCTATATTAACTCATGAAGGTCTCACAACATTCCAACAACTTGGGGGCTCCTCTTTATATAAATGACCAAATAAAGGCACAGGGAAATGAGAAACTTTCCCAAGGTCACAACAGAGGGCAAATGGCCGAGCCAAGTTCTTCATAACCACATTATGCTCATAACAGAATTCAGAGAATTTCTGTTTATCTGCTTCTCACTTGTGTTTTTTTCTGCCTCCAGCCAGAAACCTCTTTATTTTCTCCTACAGTTTCTCCTTGCCCTCTGGACTTGCTTACTCTTCACCTCAGCTTGCTAATGGCCACCCTGTTGTCACTATCTCACATCATGTGACCTGTCTCACTCCATACTTTCCATTGCAGTGTTCATTACTAGCTGCCCTATTCTCTCTGTGTTTTCTAACTTAAATTCCAGAGAGCAAATCTCTCTTGGAGCAGTTTTTCATGTCAGACTACTGGACATTTCCAGACAGGTTTGGAGGTCAGCCCTAGTCTGATAAGATGTGGGCTAATGCACTGGACTAACAAAGTCATTAGAATTGCAAGGTTAGTGGTTCAATCTCACCAGCTGCTCCTTGGAGACCCTATACAAGGTCTCTATGGGTCAGTATCGACTTGATGGCACTTAACTAGTGTTGTTGTGATGTGCCGTGGAGTCGGTTCTGACTCGTAGCGACCCTG